CTTCCTCTACCAAGTAGCCATAGCACTTCTGTTTTGACAAGCAACCCCTTGTCCCATGCAGTCCTGGTGATCACAATGTAGCAATCATTCCTTTTATTTTTCTCTTTTTGGGGGTTGATGTTGAACTCAGGGCATAATACTTGGCCCTGCATCTTTTTGCTTTGAGTTAGCTTATTATTATTATTATTATTTTAATTTTCAGTTAGAGTCTTTTGTCTGGGACCAGCTTTAGACTGATCCTTTTATTGTACCCTCCCAAGTGGCTGGGATTACAGGCATGTATCATCATGCTCAGAGCTCCTTGTTCTTTTTTTTTTTCCCTCCCTCCCTCCCTCTTTCCTTCCCTCCCTCCCTTCCTTTCTTCCTTCCTTCCTTTCTTTTGACAGTTGTAGGGCTTGAACTCATGGCCTGAGCATTATCCCTGAGCTCTTTAGCTCAAGGCTAGCATTCTATCACTTGGAGCCACAGAGCCACTTCTGGTTTTTGAGTGGTTAATTGGAGATAAGAGTCTTATGGGAGGGGCTGGGAAGGTGGCTCAGTGGTAGAGCGCTTGCCTTGCATGCATGAGGCCCTGGGTTCGATTCCTAAGCACCACATAAGCAAAAGAAAAAAGCCAGAAGTGGCGCTGTGGCTCAAGTGGTAGAGCGCTAGCCTTGAGCTGAAGAGCTGAGGGATAGCGCCTCACGACCGGACCCCCCCCCCAAAAAAAAAGAGTCTTATGGGAACTTTTCTGCCTGGGTTGGCTTTGAACCTCGATCTTTAGATCTCAGCCTCCTGAGTAGCTAGGATTATAGGCGTGAGTCATTGACACCCAGTGCCTGTTCTTTTCTTTTGCTGCTCACATTATTGCCCTTTGCTCTGCCATCATTACTTGTTCTTTTGGAATATGCCACTGCTACTTCCTGCCCAGGCTTTGGTAAGACAAGTACATTCCTTCACAGTTCTTTCTAGTATGTGCTTGTAACTAGATAAATGATTATCTCCAGTGGCAAGATGTTTTGGGCTAAAGGTATACATAGACATCTGGGTAGACCAGTTGGCATTGTATTTTCAGTGTTGGGCTATGGCCTGGTTCCTCATGCCAAACAGATCGCAAAACTCCTCCAATGACGCTTTTGCTTTTCAGTATGTATTGTAACATTCTCTTGATTACTGAGGCAGTTGGCAATAGGAACAACTCTAATAAGCCCTCAGTAATCTGGTGGGAAGGTGTGAGGAAAGAGCACTCTACAATCCTTTCAGTAGTCTTAGTGTTTGGGTTAGCCTGTACCTCTAGACTCTAAACTCATACAGGCTCTTGAGCTGTAATCCTAGCTACCCAGGAGGCTGAGACTGAGGATCATGGCTTGAAGTCAGTCCAGGCAGAAAAGTTCACCAGACTATCTCCAACTAACCAGTAAAAAAGATGGGTAGAAAGCATAGCTCAAGTGGTAGAACACTAGCAGTGAGAAAAAACAAAATCTGCTGGGTGCTGGTGGCTCATGCCTGTAATCCTAGCTACTCAGGAAGCTGAGATCTGAGAATCTGGACAAGAATATCCATGAGACTCATCTCCAATTAACCACCAGAAAACCAGAAGTGGTGCTGTAGCTCAAAGCAGTAGAGCACTGTGGCTCAATGGTAGAGCACTTGCCTTGAGCTGAAGATCTAGGGACAGCACCCAGGCCCAGAGTTCAAGTCCTGCCCCCCCTTCCCTCCCCCCCTCCCTGCCAAAAAAAAATCTGAGCAAAAGCATAAAGTCCTGGGGGGGGCAGGTTGTGGATGTGGGGAGGGAAGGGATGGTAGGGGGAAAACAAAGGAGGAGGTAACAATGCTCAATAGGAAATGTACTCACGACCTTGCTCATGTACTCACTACCTTGCTCATGTCCAGCAATTTTACAATAAAAAAAAGTAATAAAAAAGAAGCATAAGGCCCTGATATCAAGCCCCAATATCAGCACAAAACAAAAAACAATGTTCACAAAAGTGTGAGGACAGTTGGGCACTTGTGGCTCATGCCTAGAGTCTTAGCTACTCAGGAGGCTGAGATCTGAGGATTGCTGTCCAAAGCCAGCCCACACAGGAAAGTCTGTGAGACACTTAGCTCCAATTAACCACCAGAAAACTAGAAGTGGTGCTGTAGCTCAAAGAGGTAGAGTGCTAGCCGTGAAAGAAAGAGCAGCTCAGGGGCTGTGCCCAGGCCCTGAGTTGAAGCCCCATGACTGACAAAAAAAAAGTTAGAGGACCTCCTATGGCAGGATCCCTTTACACTTGTCCACACTGAGTAACTCACTAATTACAAGTTTCTATACTCAGCACTGGTTCCCATGGTAAGTGACAGTCTTCTCTATCTGTCTGTCTGTCTAGTTTTAGAGACAGTGGTTTACATTGTGATCATACTTTTCCTGTGGATCTAAGACACGTTGACTTTTCAGCTTTTTCCTTGTGGTTCTGATGCTATTTATGTGCTAAGCTGGGATGTATAGGAAGTCTTTGAAATAAGATGTACACTATGGTTCAGATATGGGTTAAGCCTTTTCCCAAAGGGTTCATGGGTTGAAATTTAATCCTCATGGCTGTGGACGGATGAGTGCACCCCTAAGACCCATGCATTCAAGGCTTGGTCCCCAGGATGACAGTATTGGAGCTCATGGGAGGTGAGGCTTCATAAGAGGTCCTTACGTCACGTGGGGTGTGCCTTTGATGGAGATGTGGGGTGTCAGTCTCTTCTGTTTTCTTTCTCTGCTTCTTGGGCACGAGATAGTGAGTGGTTTGCTCTGCCACATGCTACTACCATGTTGTGCTGCCCCTTGTCACGGGCACAAAGCCGTGAGGCAGATCAGTCTGGGCCTGAAACCGTGAGCTGAAATACACCTTGTATCTTTTGTGTTTTTTGTTTTGCCAGTCCTGGGGTTGAACTCAGGGCCTGTGAATGGTCCCTGAGCTTCTTTTTGCCTAAGGCTAGCACTCTACCATTTGAGTCCCAGCACCACTTCTGGCTTTTTGGAGTGATCCTCAGATCTCAGCATCCTGAGTAGCTGGGATTACAGGTGTGAACCACTGGAGCCCGCTACACATTATAGCTTAATTGTCTCAGGTATTTCATTTTAGTCAGGGGAAGCTACTGTGCCCACTCTGACATATTGAAGATGGTGGAAACTAGCTGGGTATGATGGTGTACACCTATAATCCCAGCAATCAGAGAGATGGAGGCAGGAAGATAGGCCTACATTGTGAAACTCTGCCTTAAAAAAGAAGCTGAGTATGGTGGCTCATCTTTGACTCTAAGCTATTCCAGAGGCAAATATTGGAAGGACAGTGGTTTGAAGCCAGCCTGGACAAGAAAGTTCTTATGCTTTTCATCCTAGTTACATAAATAGAACTGCTGTCCAGGCTGGCCTGGGCATAGATATGAGGCCCTACTAAGAAAACTAAAGCAAAAAAGGGCAGGGGGTATGACTCAGTCGGGATAGTATACCCAGTTAGCTAGCCTGAGGTCCTGAGTTCAAAATCCTAGTACCAGAGAGAAAGGGGGGGAGGGAGGGAGAAAGAGAAAGAGAGAGAGGAGGAGAGAGGGAGAGAGAGAAGAGAAAAACGAGGGAGGAAGATAAAGAGGGAGAAGGAGAGGGAGAGGGGTAAAAGGGAAAGGAGGAGAAGGAAAGAGAGGGAAAGAGGGGGAGAGGGGGAGAGAGGGAGAGAGGGAGGTAGAAATTTAAGCTGCCTGTGGTGTTGGGACACGAGGCCTTCAGGAAGTGATTAGAATTAGATAAGGTCATCAGGATGGAGTCTCCATGAGTGCAGAGAAGGGAGAGAGACAGGAGACATGCATGCTTCCTGTCTTTCACCATGTGATGCTATATCCAGCTGGGTACACGACCAGTAAGAAGACTATTACAGGATGTGGGCCCTTGGACCTTGTGTAGACAACAGTGAGCTAAGTAAAATAAATGTGTTTTGTTTTTGTTTTTGGTCCTCCCCATGATGGGGGAGTCAGCCAGCCTCTGGCCTTGTAGCCCCAAACCTGCTTTCTTTATGAAGTTAGCCAGACTCAAGTACTTTTTTCTAATCTTGAAACATCAACTAATATAGTGTACATATAAAATCGTGTGATAGGGCGGGGAAGGTGGCTCAGTGGTAGAGCACTTGCCTTGCATGCATGAGGCCCTGGGTTCGATTCCTCAGCACCACATAAGTAGGCAGAAAAAGCTGGAAGTGGCGCTGTGGCTCAAGTGGTAGAGCACTAGCCTTGAGCTGAAGAGCTGAGGGACAGTGCCCAGGCCCAGAGTTCAGGCCCCACGACTGGCAAAAAAATAAAATAAAATAAAATTGTGTGATAGTTTACTCTTTTTGGGGGGGTGTAATTTGAAATGGGTTGCATATTTATCACTTAACGGCACATCTTGATTAGAATTGGCCACCTTCTTATTAGCCACATATGGCTTGTGACTTCGATCTTGGAGAGTGTCCTTCTAAATGAAAGATTGTTTACTGGAGAATTGGGTGATTAACTATTACCTTGGGCCCAAATCACCTTCCCACCTGAGGTTAATTAACTTTTTCACAGTTTTAGAAATGCAATCCCAATGCCCAAGAGACTTGTCTCCACTTATGCCATTCCTTGTTTCACTCGGTGTTGAGAGGCATCCAGTAAGCATTGACTACATGCTTATTAACCTTAAGCAAAGCAGTTCCTTCTTACCCAAGAGTTATTCGATATTTATGTCAGGGACTATCTCCTCCAGGATCTTGCATTATTTTTCTTTTTCTCTTCTTGCTATTACTTCAGCAAATCCAGGATGACTGAGCCTTTCCAATGTTCCAGTATTCCACTTTAGTGATAGGACTCCTCAAAGTGCAATGGACATTCTTTAGATCAGAGAGAGTTATACTAGGGTGTGGCTCCTGGGAGAATGCTAGATCAGGAGACTTGAGGCCCTGAGTTTGATCCCCAGTACCCCTAAAGGTTCAGTGGCTCTAACCCCTGTGAGTCTGAGGCCCAGTGGGCTGGGTGTTTCTTACCCGGGATTGTTGGTGCTTCTGATAGAACTCAGTCATGTTGAAGTCATCCAGGTCGACCAATAGGCCTTGTTTACACATTTCACAGGTCTTCACAGTGCCTAGATCAGCTCCTTAAATGAGACAGAGATTCTGTGTAAGAGAACAGATCTAAGTGTTCTGAACACACACACACACACACACACACACACACACACCCATTATATACAATCTGTGTTGGCACTTTGGGCAGGTGATGTTTTGAGACTGAATTTGTGTGTGTTATGGTAAGCTTTCTTGACCTTCATTAAAAGTCAGTCATCCTCTGAAGAAAATGACCTTGAAGCTGAGATCTGAAAATTTCCCTTTGTAATCATTCATTATACAAGCTTCATGGACGTGAAATCCTCATGACTTTTAAATAACAAGTTTTGTTTCTGTTTAAATATATCAACATAATGGTTCATAAAACTGCAATTGTGACATGGGAGCCGAGTCTGTAACACAGGTGTTTGCAGCAACAACAACAATAATAATAATAATAACAAGACTAATAGTGGGCTTAATTCTTTTTTTTTTTTCTTGTAGATCTCACATAGATCCAAGAAAAAGGAAAATAAATTTGTAAGGAAGCTATACTCCCATCAGTGGCTTAAAAATCGACCCTTAGTCCTTCCCATGCCAGATTCTTATCTGAGAAAAGTAAGGGAGTGAGGAGCCACATGCTGGTATGAGTTACAATGGTGTCAGGGGACCAGCCTCTACTAAATCCCAACTCAGCCTCATTTGGGGAAAGAAACATGAAAGGGTTTCCTGTGCTGGGGGAAGGGGTTATGTTGTTTGTAAATAAAAACTTGCATTCTAAATTAGCACATCCCCCCCCCCCCACCCTACTTCCTAATACAAAAGTAGGAGCTAAAAAACTGTGGCTATTTTAAGAAAAAAAAAAAAAGGCACACCTCTTTCCCCCTCCCCCCACGCAGGCACTGCGTTTTGGTGCGCGCATGCTAATTAGGAAACACAGAACTTAACTCCTTAACTGTATCTATTGAGTAATCTGGGCTTTGCAGACTTTTTTTTATGCCAGTTCTATTTCCCCATGAGATATAAAAACAAGAGTAAATGATAGAGACTTTTAAAAGGGGTGGATGAACTGTGATCTCTCATCTGCATGTTGTTTCCTTGCTGTCTCCTATTTTAGCACCATCCCATCCAGCAATGCTTTTGGCTCCTCAGCATTCCATGTGTCTTCCATCCTAATCTTGCCAAACACGATCATACCCGTATTGGCATTTATGAGCCTTCAATATAATTTTTAAATGATCCATTTCATGGCTCCTTTTTCTTTCTGCACTAGATTTTGTTTTTGCTTGCTTTTTGGGGGGTGGGTGGGAGGGGGGTTTGATCTTAGGGGCATCATACATACTCACTATCTGTTTTTCCATGTTTGGAGCTCGATCATTTGAGCCATGCCTCAAGTCAGGGTTTTTTCTGGTGAACTGGAGATAAGAGTCTCACTGACTTTTCTGCCTTAGCTAGCCTGGAACTGTGATCCTTTAGGTCTTAGCCTCTTGAGTAGCTAGGATCACAGGTGTGAGCTACTGGTGTTGGCTAGTCTAGGTATTTAATTGACTCAAATTTCTACTAAGATAAAGCATTATATGGCAGAATTATTACTACCCTTATTACTAGAAAAAGTTCTTTGCTTATATTTAAGCATCTCAGGAATGATTCTGTATTTCTTATGCTGGTGAAACATGGGAAGAGACTTTAGGAATGAGAGAGTTAATGTGACGGGTCCCTGTGTCCATTCTCTGATCAAATGGAGTGCTGTCTTTGGTGAAGGTAGAGCAGCAATACCCCACGGGGACAGGGTAAAGCCCCAGGTCTCTTAGACAGCATAGAATAGATAAAAATTTGGGAGAGGAGAGGCTCTAGCCACAGAATAAAGGTTTCAGAGAGAGGGAGGAGAGAGAAAGAGGGAGAGAGAGAGAGGGAGCTAGGGAGAGAGGTGCCTGAAAGACATAGCTATTTTCTAATTGAGTTGCTTCCATTGATATCCACAATTTTTTGTTAAAATTGGCGTTCATTCCCAAACCCATGTTTTAAAGAAATCTTCCATCTTCTGCCAAGAAAACTATAGCTGACTTACTGATGTGGCTATATTTAGGTTATCTCCTCCCTGGGGAGTTGAGAAGGGACCTCACACTCCGTTATAAGATCAAACTGACAAAACCCACGCAGTGAAATCTCTTTCTCGAATATGGTTGTAGAAAATCAGATCAACGCTTTTTTTAAAAAAAATTTAAACTCAGCTGTCAACAAGCAGCTTTGCTTGAGTTCCTAGGTGCCCTCAATCCTCCTTCCCCCAAATACAAGGAAGATAAACGGTGTGTGTTTGGAGGGGGAGTCTCTCATGATGGTCTTTCTGAATGAATTTTGCAGAGGGCCTACTGGCTGTGCATGGCCACTGGGGATGGTGTCTCCTGAACCTCCCCTATTGGGAGGTTCCCATTTCTTCCACTTCCTTCCTTGTGGAAGGGCAGGCTTAGCACCTCTGCTTCAAGCAGGAGGATCCCATGGCAAATGTTTCCAGAATCGATCTCTCAGACTTAAAAACAACAAACGAACAAAAAATCTCCAACACATTTGCCCAGGAGTTCGTGGCTCATGCATATAATCCTAGCTACTCAGGAAGCTGAGATCTGAGGATCACAGTTCAAAGCCAACCCAAGCAGGGAAACCCAAGTGACTCTTTAATTAACCACCAAAACACGAAGTAGGAGCTGTGGCTCAAGTGGTATAGCACTAGCCTTGAATGCTCAGGGACAATGCCTAGGCCCCGCGATCAAGCCCCAGTACCTACACAAAACCAAGCAAAAACAAATCACATTCATTTCCCTTCTGTCATTTGAAGACAGTGTTTTGGGAAAAAGAATCCCAGGCTAGGCCACATTTCCTTGGAACTTAGCAGTTGACAGGCTCCGAGGCCCACGCTGTGGTGGCTCAGATTAATCACGTGTGGCTGTGTACTTGAGCTCTTCTCTCCGCACCTACCTGATGTGATCTTCACTTTCAGCCACTTTTTCAGGCACTCTTGGTGAACGAACTGTAGGCTTCCCACACAGCCGCAGGGCTCCAGGAGCGGGTTGGTGGGGGAACCCCCAGCTATCTGACAGATGCGACATAAGTCTCCTTCCTCCTCAGAGTCCTCCTCCAGGAGACTAAAGGGAAAACAAGCCCTCGTGACCAGGAGTCTCCACATTTGAAGTTTCCACAGAGTGTCAGTTCTCAGGGTGCTCATGGGAAAAGGAAGAAAAAGGAAATTTTCTCCTCTCCCACTATGGGCCTGCCCAAGATGACTTCTGGGATCTACCCACTGCCTCTCTGATCCTCCCCTTCCCTCCCTCCCCCCCCCCCCCCAGTCCTGGGGCTTGAACTCAGGGCCTGGGCACTGTCCTTGAACTTCTTTTGCTCAAAGCTAGCACTCTACCACTAAGCCACATTCCCAGCCCCCAGGTTCTTTTTTAAAATTATTATTTAAATTATTATTATTAAGGGGATGTACAGAGGAGTTACCACGATTTCATAAGTCAGGTAATGAGTACACATGGGCTCTACTGTAATCACTGATACATGTGAGCTCTCTGGGACCAACACAACCACCACAAAGAAAGAAGGGAGTGAGAGGCATGTACTTAGATGAAGCATGCAGGAGTTCCTGGGTTCAATTCCCAGTACTGCAGTGAGAACAGAGGTGAGGAGAAGTCTCCAGAAGAAACTGCTGGAAGGCCTGCTGTCACCACCTCACAGGATTTACCACCAGGGATCTGGGGTTTGAGGGCTGCCCTTTAAGTCATGTGACTTGGCTGCCTTTTAAATAATGTGACTTGGGACAAGTTCCTGGTGTCATCTGAGGATTTTGTTTTCTTATCTGCTTGGTTGCTTCCCAGGGTTGGAACAGCCCAGGTGCCGGACTATGGACTTGCTCTACAAACTGTACAAGCTAAGTTTTGCCTCCCAGAGACTACGCAATAGGTGCCAGTTTGAATAAGTGATGCACCAACAAACCTGAACATGAGCAACAAGTGCTGCATGCCATCCTACATTCCAGAATGGGAGCTGCTAGAAGTTGATAAGGACAGAATGAATGAAAATGTAAGCAAAAATATGTGTGTCTAATAAATGGCAAGCGAAGGATAGCTGGATGATATTCATGTTAAGAGTGCTGAAAGAAGCTGACAGCAATTTTTCTTTTCTTTTGAATTTTCATAGGTCTGGGGTTGTCAGTAAAAAGAAACTAGTTCATGACTACAATCAAAGGGGAAGAAATGGACAATGTTTTGAATATTAAAAAAAAAAATCTCTGAGCTGGGGCACCAGTGGCTCCTGTAATCCTAGCTACTCAGGAGGCTGAGATCTGAGGATCGCAGTTCAAAGCCAGCCTGGGCAGGAAAGTCCGTGAGACTCTTTTCTCCAATTAACCACCAGAAAATCGGAAGTGGCTCTGTGGCTCAAGTCGTAGAGCACTAGCCTTGACCTGAAGAACTGAAGGACAGTGCCCAGACCCAGAGTTCAAGCCTGACAACTGACCAAAAAAACCAAAAAACAACCCAAAACAAAAAACAAACAACAACAAGAAAAAACCCAGAAACAAAACAAAACAAAAAACTTTGTTTCTTTAGACATTGTCATCTCCAAGAAAGGGAAATTCAGTGAAAAGGAACAGAATTTGCTGAGTGCCAGTGGCTCATGCCTATAATCCTACTATTCAAGGAGGCTGAGATCAGAGGATCTAGATTTGAAGCCAGCCAGGGAGAAAAAGTCGATGAGATCCTTATCTCTTATTAACCAGCAAAAACCCAGAAGTGGAGGTGTGTTTTAAGTAGTAGAATGCCAGCATTGAGTAAAAAATCCGAGTGAGAAGGCCCCAGTACTGGCATTTTTGTTATTGTTGTTATATTATATTATATTTATTTATTTATTTTTGCTGATCCTGGGGTGCTCTACCACTTGAGCCACAGCACCACTTTTGGCTTTTTCTGAGTAGTTTATTGGAGATCAGAGTCTCATGGACTTTCCTGCCTTGCTGGCTCCAAGCTGCAGTCCTCAGATTTTAGCCTCCTGAGCAGTTAGGATTACAAGTGTGAACCATCAGTGCTGGGCACCAAAATAAATAAGTAAATTGTGAGCCCAGTTGCCCTGAGAAAGAGAAGCAGCAGAGCCAGGATCTCGCTCCCAATCAACATGGAGAGGAGTGCTGTGAAACGGAGCTAGCTTTATAGCCCAAGCGTTCAAACTCTGTTCACAAATACTCACTCAAAACCTTCCATTTAGGGAAAAGGATGGAGAGGAAGCAAGACACACAGCTACCAGGGCATCTATGCTGGTGGCCTCTTTTCTCAGCCACCCTTTTCTTCCTTCATGAGACAACAGCCATCTTCTGTTACAGCCATGGGGCCAGCAGCATAAAGAAGAGGGGACCAAGGGAGGGCTCTGCTGATGGTAGAGGAAGTGGATAGTTTATGGAATGCAGGAATCTTCTTGAGAAGATTCCAGAGGATTTAGCCTACTGTTTTGTAAAAGGAACAACCAGAGATAAAAGGATTTCTGGGGAATTAAAAAAAGAATTTTTTTTTTACAGGCATAGCAATACTAATAAATAAAATAGAATCCACGGCTAAAGAAAATTAGCCTTTTTTGGGGGGGGAGATAGTGCTGGGAATCAGTCATTAGTCTTAATGCAATAAATAAAAATAAAACTCCTATAGATACAAAAGAGAATGGGGCAAATCCAAATCATAGCAGAAGGTTTTAATACATTTTGGAAATTGATCAATTCAATAGAAAAGAATAAAGTAGGAAGCTTTTTAATAGCATCTTTTCCAAGCTGTATTATATATATATGTGGACAGACAATAAAAGAATAGAGACTATACAACTACTCTGTGCTATAACAGTTTTGTACATACTGGCAAGGTACTGGGGCATAAAAAACATAGACCACACTTTCTGAGATCTCAATACAATTAAATGAGGAAGGGCAATAACTTTTTTAAAGAGGATAATAAAGGGTGTTTTACTATATCAAACAGTAAATCTATAATAAGTAAAGGTGTACAGTGCATGCAATATCAGGCAGATTAACCAAAGTGTTAATGGTAATGTATACTGACTGGTAAGGGACCTTAAATGCAAAAGAAGTCATAGACTGACAACTGGATAACAGCGAAGGAGGAGGAGGAAAAAGAAGACAGAAAAAGACATTAGAACCCTATCTTATGCCATATGAATGGAATGGTAGCTAGATTTCAGTATAGCTCTACGGATGAGTATTTACTGTATATTAGGTACATTGGTTGGGGTAAATATTTTGGACCTCATTGAATTTTCACTGTTTTGGGGGCAAGAGAAGATATTGTTACTTCTCTTTTCTACATGGAAAAAAAATAGCTCCAGAAAATGAAGGAACATTTTCTCAAACCACAGCAAGCTAATAGTTGGTAGAATCAGGAACTGAATCTAGAGCTGCACTACAACAAATGTATGTTTTTAAAATAAAATGAGAATATTTCCAGAAGGAAAATGGTTATGGACACTTGAGTGTTCATAAAATGGTGGTGAGAATGGAAAAGTGGAGGGCTTTCTTTTGTGGGGGGACCTTTACTTGGCTTCCCCTTCCCATGGCTAACACTCTACCACTTGAACCAAGTTTTCAGTTCCTGCTTTCTGCTAGATCATTGAAGTTAAGAGTCTTGGGGATTTGTCTGCCCAGTCTTCTGACTGAACCTCATTTCTCGGATCTCAGGTGTGAGGTGCCAGTGCCATGAAACAATGCACATTACAGACCTTATACAGTGCATTGCCTTTCATCAGCAGTTACAAGGTTAGAACCTTATCCCTCAGTGGAGACTCAAATGACAACACTCATATTCAATGTAAAATCTGTAGTCCTAGAAACTTTAGGTAATACGATAAGATTAAAACAAAAAATAGTGAGAGCTGGGAACATGACTCAAGCAGTAGAGGGCTGACATAGGAAGCATGAGGCCTTGAGTTAAAAAAATGTAGCCTTGCTGTGACTCAAGTGGTAGAGCGCTAGCCTTGAGCTGAAGAGCTGAGGGACAGCGCCCACGCCCAGAGTTCAGGCCCCACGACCGGACCCAAACAACAACAACAACAACAAAATGTAGCCTTGTAATTGTGACCCCTCTGTACGGTATTTTCACAGTAAAAAAAAAAAAAAAAGTAGCCCAAAATAGGGTTTTGGAGGAAAAGAAATTATTATTCACTGTGGAAATCATTTATATAGGAAACAACCACAGACAAGATATTATAAACAATTAAATTCAGCAAAATACAGAGAAAACACGCAATAGAATATCTGTTCACTAATCACAAATAGTTAAAACTCAGAACTTAAAATGTTGTTTCAAGCACCCAGGAGGCAAATGCAGGAGGATCATGAGTTCTAGATCAGCCTGGGGCTTTGTGGTGAGACTGACTAAAACAAACCCCAACAACAACAAAGAAAAAAGAAAAGAAAAGAAGGAATGAAGGAAACAAAAAACTGGAATTATAGCTACTCGGGAAGAACTACTCATCTGAGCCTTAGTCTAGCAAGTATGAGACCCTGAGTTTGAATCTTGGTGCCATACTAAAATTTGCATCCATATGCAAAAATGAAAGACTGAAAACATTTTTTTCAGCAACACTTATCTCTGAATGGAAGGTTAAAGGTGTCTTTCTTTTTTTTTGGGGGGGTCCGGTCGTGGGGCCTGAACTCTGGGCCTGGGCACTGTCCCTCGGCTCTTAAGCTCAAGGCTAGCGCTCTACCACTTGAGCCACAGCACCACTTCTGGCTTTTTTCTTTTTGCTTATGTGGTGCTGAAGAATCGAACCCAGGGCCTCATGCATGCAAGGCAAGCGCTCTACCACTGAGCCACCTTCCCAGCCCAAAGGTGTCTTTCTTTCAAGTCTGTATTTTAAAATATTTCCTAATTAGACATTTTTGAAATCATAAGAGTATAAGGTCCATTAAGAGTATAAGGTCCATAGAAACAACAGAGCATTTGATGAACATTAATAAAGCATTTGTTAAATAATAGTTTCAAGTAACCACATGCATGTGAAAAAAAAATTACTTTGAGCCCAAAGGTGTCACTTTGGTGATGGGAATCAGGACTTGTGACAAGTATGCCTGAAGCTATTTTTTGTGGCTCAAGTGGTATAGTGCTAGACTTGAACAAAAGACCTCAGGGACAGATCTAGGCCCTGAGCTCAGGACAGCGCGCGCATGCGCGCGCGCGCACACACACACACACACACACACACACACACACACACACACACACACAGACTATAAACTAGTTGCCTAGCTACTCAGAAGGCTGAGATCTGAGGACTGCAATTCAAAGTTGGCTGGAAAGCCAAATTCATGAGAGTTTTCTGCATTTAACCAGCAAAAAGCCAGAAGTGGAGGTGGGGCTCAAGTGGTAGAGCCCTAGCTTTGAGCAAAAGAAGCCAAACATGAACACAAGGCCCAGAGTGGGCTTTTTTTGTGTACTAGCACACACACACACACACACACACACAATCTTAGAAGATTATATATATCACTGAATGAATTAAACTTTTCTGTTTACAGATGCGTAGCAATAGGATAACTAATGGCCCAAATAAGCCATTCCAACGTACCCAAAGAAGGCTTACATTTCAAGAATCAATTTTCAGATCAGTAAGCTAATATAAGGACACAGTAAACACCTACCATAAATGAAATGGTAGAATTTTGACATTGCTTAATGATGGCTTTGAAAACTATCCAATTTTGTAGCCATCAAATTCCCAAAGTCACATCAAGAGAAAAAGATCAAAGAAAAGGGCAATTGGAAAAGATCTTTTTTTTTCTTCCTCTCTGATGCATGAGAAAGAGCCCTTATAATGGAGGCAGTGGTTAACCTAGTGCAGCCCTTCAGCGATGTAGGTAACTATGGTAACTGTTTGGGAACAGTCTTTTACTTTGGAAGGTTCCAATTCTAAAATTGTTGGTAAGATTTGCGTTTAGTCCCATGAGGGAGAGCTGTGAACTTCAAGTGCTGTATAGTTCATACTCTAGGGAGACAGCAACCTTTCCATAAAAATTCCTGGTTTCTAATTGCTGGAGAGAAGAGGTAGGATTGTGTAGCCCCCAGAAATCCTTATATCTGCAAGTTTTCCTTTGTTAAAGTTATGGTATAGAGGGGGGGGGGGAAACCCACTTTAGGAATACTGAAGAAATTGAATAGAAAGGGGCTGGGAAGTTGGCTCAGGGGTAGAGTGCTTGCCTCACATGCATGAGGCCCTGGGTTCGATTCCTCAGCACCACATAAGCAGAAAAAAGCCAGAAGTGGTGCTGTGGCTCAAGTGGTAGAGTGCTAGCCTTGAGCTGAAGAGCTGAGGGACAGTGCCCAGGCCCAGAGTTCAGACCCCACGACTGGACCCAACAAAAAAAAAGAAATTGAGTAGAAATACTAAACTTTTCTCTGTACATATACATACATACATACATACACACACACGTGGGTGTATGTATGTATCTGTGTGTGTGTGTGTGTGTTACTGGAGTTTGAGCTCAGGGCCAGGGCCTTGCTTTTTCTGCTCAAGGCTGATGTTCTACCACTTGCATCCTATCTTTCCCATCTGGCTTTTTGGTGGTTAATTGAAGATAAGTCTCATGGATTTTCCTGCCCAGACTGGCTTCAAACCTTGGTCCTCTGATATCAGCCTCCTGAATATCTAGGATTACAGGCATGAATCACTGATGCCTGGTGTGCGCACACACACACACACACACACACACACACACACACAAATGTAAAAGCAACAAAAGAGGGGCATTTTCCTCCAAACAATCAACATTAAAATGACAAGAAAGAGCCTATCTGTGATTTAAAATTCCCAGGACTTTTTTTGTTGTTGTTGTTGGTCATGGGACCTGATCTCTGGGCCTGGGTGCTGTCTGTCAGCTCTTCAGCTCAAGGCTAGCACTCTACCACTTGAACCATAGTACCATTTCCAGCTTTTTCTGCTTATGTGGTGCTGAGGAATCGAACCCAGGGCATCATGCATGCAAGGCAAGAACTCTACCACTGAGCCACCTTCCCAGACCCTCCCAGGACTTTCTAATGAAAGCAATGCTTATTTTAGCACTGGGAAGGAAGAAAAGGAAGATAATATGTGTATATTTTATACGGAGTTGTGAGCATTCCTCACCTTTCTTGCAATTTCTTGAGCTTCTCAGGGTCTGCCTTTGTCTCAGTCTCCCCCTTCTCATCTGTAAAGCCAGAGACTGCTATGTTGGCCTCACCATCATTTTGACTTGTGAAATCAGACACTGCAAAGAAAGTAAAAGGTATAGCTTCTTGCAGGGACTCAGGCATGTGCAAGTGGCCTTGTAAGTCCATTCTTGATCGAGAAGGTCTGGGATTGTCCACTGAGGACAAACTGCCTTGAGGATTTAGTAATAACTCTTCTGCGTATAACGAAGCCCCCTGGGGTTGGCTTGTTAAAGTAATGTGCTCTGCTCCCCTGACATCAAATTCATGGGTCGTGTTTACCAGAAAAATATTGTGGTTTTCAGTGCTGGCAAATGGATTCCTACTTCTAATAGGGGACAGTGGTCGACGAGCGTTGAATCTTGAGTTTTCCTCCAGCTCTGAACCGTGAACTAAAATAGACGACACTGACATGTCTACTGACATGTCATCTATCAGAGCAGATTGCACCAATGGCCCAGGAGTGGTATAGGAATTCACTGATGATCTTGGAGCTATGGGTCTACCGGAAAGCAAGCAGTCAAAAGAATTTCTGGAATCATTTAAATAGTGTTGCCAATCTCTTTCGTAGTCATGGACTCCAGGTGCTTCCACAGAGCCTCGATTGGGATATGGATCTTCAGCATTGAGTCCGTCTTCTTGACTGGGTTGGGATTCGGTCTTTTTCTCATCTTCACTGCCATCGCTGTCATTATCTGTGGTAGGCTCCTCATCAGACAGGCTGGAGTCTTGCTGCTTTGTCACTGGCTCCATTGTATTGTTTATTCTGAGTGAGCCAAGCTTGGGTTCCCTTCTTCTTAAAGAATTACCTCGACTATTATCAGCATTTTTGTCAAAATCATTATTTTGGACTCGGGTGGTTGATGTCCCGAGGAATGGATTTCTTTGCTGGTTGGAAGGAGAATGGGGTGAGTGCATACCAGCCATCAGAAGTTGTTCTTCCTCTTGGATTTCCTCTTCCGTGTCATCATCTTCCGGAACCATGTTTATTGAAAATGTAGAATAAAAGTCTTCATCTCGGAACCTAAATGATGTCCCTCTTCTTGTTGCTCCCATGGTACTACTGGGTATGACAGGTGACCCCAAAGACTCATTCTTCATGCCTTGGAAGGGCTGACATAGGGATGAATGGGGATCCTTTGGGGAAAGGGCACTGGGTTCTCCTTTCTTGGGCCTCTCTGGGGCTTTCTCTACCAGCCTCATCAGCGGTGGTGGTGTGGCTACGCTTTTTATCTCTCGACTTGGTCGCTTCAGCTTTGTCTCACCTGCAAACACTGGGCCTTCTGATTGAATTACTGGACCTGCATTGAGAAGAGACAAATTCATCATTCTGTTAAAAACAACAAAAACTGTGGCCTGGGTGCCCATGGCTCATACCTGTAATCCTAGCTATTCAAGAGGTTCAAATCTGAGGATCATGGTTCAAAGCTAGCCTGGATAAAAAGTCTATGAGAGAGATTCTTATCTCCTATTAACCCCCCCCTAAAAAAAAAAAAAACCAGAAAAGGAGCTATGGCTCAAGTGATAGAATGCTAGCTAGCCTTGAACAAAAAAGCTCAGGGATAGCACCGGGCCTTGAGGTTAAGCTCCAGGGGACAGTGGTTTATGGGCTTCTATTTCCTGCTTCTAGGCTCTCCTTTGTGCTCAAAGGTGGCCCTGAGTGTTTGGAGTGACCCTGTGCATATGGATTACTTCTGCAGAAATTTTGGTGTTCCTGGGGTTTGAACCCAGGGCCTATTGCCTGCTAGGCAAGGCGTTCTACCGCTTGAGCTACAATGCCAGCCTTCTGCACAAGCTTTGGGAAGATTGGTCTAGCTCCATACCCATGTCAAGACTGAGGGTAGATAAACCTCCTACTAAATACTGGTTTAATTCTGCATTTATTGAAAAGGAAAAGCAGTTCTCTGGGAATGACTTCTGGAAAAATCACTGGTTCTTCCTTTCTCTTCCAAATTCCTCCCACATACATTTATGGCAGCCCTGCTTCACACACACAGCTTTATCCACACTAAAGTACAATCTGCCTTGACAGATCGAGAGGAAGATTCTAGAAGCCCCATGCCCAGGTAGGTACATTGATGTTTATGGTCATACTATTTAGTACAAATAAAGCATTATTTAATATAAATAATACTTCTCAAGAAATGATTATCTTTTCTTTATCCTTGACCTTTAGTAAAGTTGTTAACTGCTGACAGTCACAAAATCCCTCCTTTCCTGATCTAAATTATGACATGTGAAGGTAAAGGGACCACTAAGTGTGAGTTACTATTAATGCGATTAGTTATTCAAACTTGTCTCATGGTGCTGGGTGCTGGTAGCTCCCACCTGTAAATCTAGCTACCCAGGAAGCTGAGATGTGAGGACTGAAGTTTGAAGTCAGTCCAGGCAGACAAATCCAAGACACTCATCTCCAATTAACCAGCAAAAAAGCCAGAATCAGAGGCTCAGGGGGTAGCATGCCAGCCTTGAGTGAAAGCAAAAACAACAAAACAAAAATGAAGCCAGTGCACAAGGCCCTGAATTCAAGCCTCAATACAAACCAAACCAAACAAAAAACTTGCTGTATATAAACATAAGCAATGAGTAAGTGCTACTTAACTGAGTGCTTACGCCGAGCAAACCAGTTGTGTCATGCACACACAGCCCTATGAAATAGGTGCCAAAATCATACCACATTATAAATGGGGTCACCTCAAGGCTTAGGGATGGCACATAACATCCAGAATACTATGTGATGGGATGAACATTTGAACCTTAGCCTGCGTAATGCTAGGGTTTGTGTTTTTAACCACTACCCTGACTTTTCCCTTAAGAAATTGGCAAGACTTCCAATTTCCCTGTGAAGGCCAGAGTCCATGGAATCCATTGTGTGTGTGTGAGGCTGGAGGGGGGGGGGGTTGGGGCTTTTCCCCACTGACAACATGGGCACAGGAAACACTGAAAGTGCTTTTCTTAATTCCTCTTCTCTCTCTTCTTGCCTACCATGGGCTACCCCACCATGCTCTTCTCTCTGCTCCCCTTGGCATCTGATGAAGCTCTGTTGTCCTTATCGCTTAATTTCTGCAGCAGTTTGCCTGTCTAGTGGACCGGAGGCGACCGGCCCGGCAGGTCGGTGATAACAGCTCTGCTCAGGGAAATGCAAATCTTCTGAGCAGCGGGCTTAGCCAAGGCCAAGTCAATACTGACTCACTTTAATTGAGGTGCCTCACAGGGGAGCCCTGGCTCCACTCTCTAATGTCCTAATACTCTGTAAGCTTCTTTTATTGTTAACGGTGTGGGACACTCAGTGACACAGTGTGAATCTTTACTCATCAGCTCTTCCAGAAATCAGTTAGAGTCTCCTGCCAGGCCCCCTCATGGGTTGATAAACCCCAGTGAGCCATGTGTCAACAATTCAAGGATGCATTGAACATCTGGTTCTATAGGAATAGGAGTAGAGCTAGGGTGCCTGCCCCACTGGGCTGGATCATGTGTTTGGGAAACTGAAGAGTCTATGAAACCAACTGTATTCTGACTTTTTTTTTTAAAGAGTGACACAGGGGAGTCAAAGAATGCACCTCTGGTTGGTGACTTCTTGTTTTGAATTTAACTAATTGGCTAGGTGCTTGTGGCTCATATTTGTAATCCTAGCTATCTATATAGGAGGATGAGATCTGAGGATCGTGGTTCAAGGCTAGCCTGGGCAGGAAAATCTTTTATCTCCAATTAACCACCCCAAAAGCCAGAAGTGGAGCTATGGCTCAAGTTGGTAGAGTACCTGCCTTGAACCAAAAAGTTAAGAGACAGTACTCAGGCCCTGAGTCCAAGCCCCAGTACTGGTGTGTGTGTGTGTGTGTGTGTGTGTGTGTGTGCATACACATGTGCAGGTGCACCTACAAACACACACACACACACACATTAAGCTAGTGGCTGATCAATCTAAGTCCTTTGGAGAGGGGGGAGGGTTCCCTGATGCTCCGTGAGAGGACCCGGACCTCCTACCTCAAATTTAGCTCAGGTTTCTGACCAGGAAAGGGAAATACTCTTAACAGGCAAAAATAAATCAGCTGGATGGCTTCTGAAAAACAGAACTGGAAATGAGCTTCATGGAGGCTACTGAGCTATCACTAGGCTCTGGGTCTGGAAAGGCCCAGTTATGTGCTGGGCTGAGATTCTGTGGCTTCCTGAAACACGCCAGGGACTGTGTCTTCACCCTGCCTTGTCATACTGCCTTCTTCTTTAAACATTTAATCAGAGATTCCCTGGAGAGAGAGAGGGGGGAGAAAGAGAGAGAGAGAGAGAGAGAAGGAGAGCGAGAGAGAGAGAGAGAGAGAGAGAGAGAGAGAGAGAGAGAGAATGTGCGTGCAAGTACACACACTTATGTATCTTTCCAATAAAGGTGGCAGACGGTGCCATTCTATATTTATGCTATTTTAACCCCATTTTTTTTTGTGCATGTGTATGTGTCTATATCAAAGTGGGAGTGGATTCCAGTAGCGCTGGGCTGGGAATAAACACTCTGATTGCTATGCCAGGGATGAGCTATTCATAGCCCAGGCCCTGCAGATGCTGAGGCTTCTCTGAGGCCTGGCCTGGCCTCCAGCTGTGGATGGAGTGCCTGCCACCTGCAGGAGGTCTAGGCACACTGAAATGAGACTGGAACAAGTATCTGTCCATGCTAAGTCAGGGCCTTTGGTCTGGGCTGCCTCATGTGCTTGACCAGTAGTGTCCTACATTCTAGCAGCCATTGCTTTTTTTTTTTAAACCTTTTTCTTCTGTGAATAGAAATAGTCTATGACTATTGGAGAAAAATTAGAATATAGAGGGGGATTAAAATAATCCATGTCTTCTCATAATCCAAAAGTCAGAATAGCTGATGTTTGTGTTGTGGACTTTAGGGGTGAGCTGCAGACCTAGACCAATAAGAGTCGTATGTTAGCATTTGAATAATAAGTTCAATGCCTTTAAGTGGAAACATGTATGTTGTGGTTTAATACCGGCCTCATAATTCCTGCTATGCCTCTCTTACCAGACCTACTTGGCTCCCTGCAGCTATTTGAATTTTTACAACCCAGGGCTCCCTTATCTAGAGGCCGTTTTTTTTGTTTGTTTGTTTTTCACTGTTACTGTTGTGCGTTTTGGGGCTTGGGCTACTGTTTCTTAGCTTTCTCTGCTCAAGGCTGTAGCTCTATCACCTGAGACATGGCTCCACTTCTGGATTTGTGCATGCGTGCGTGCGTGTGTGCATGCGTGCGTGCATGTGTGTGTGTGTGTGTGTGTGTGTGTGTGTGTGTGTGGTGGTTGTTATTAACTGGAGGTAAGAGTGTCCAATGTCATAGAATTTCTTGCCTGGGCTGGCTCTGAACCGTAATCTTCAGATCTCAGCATCTGAGTCTAGGAATACAGGCATGAGCCATGAGCACTTGGTTAGAGGCCTTAAAAGAAAAAGAAAAATTGCAGCATTTCTGTACATGCAACTGCATGCTCTGCTCCTTTCTTAAAAATTTCGCTGCTGTTAATTAAGAACTTATAGAAATTAAAGTATAAAGGTATCCTATATAAACATACCAGGATTTGTTCCCCTACTGCTGGTATGCTGCTTGGCCTGAGACTTTTTTTTTGGCATGGGGGATCACATTGCAATGAATGTCCTTGCTCACACATCTTTGATGACTTGTCTTCTGAGAATGGATTCATGGGGGTGGATTGCCAAGTTAATAGGTATGAACTTTCTAGAAGCTTTTGACATATGGTGCCAAATTCCTTCTTTGCACCAAATTGCCCTCGAGGTAGGATATGAAAGCAATGCTGCTACCCTGTGTAGCCCACAGCTCGTGACAGCAGAAAGTGCTAGTGGTTAGCTTTGCTACCAGTATTAAATATGATGTTAGAAACCTTAGCCAATTTGGTAAGCTGAAATGAGCTCATGTGAAATTAGCTCATGTATAAATTTACATTCATGATCTATGAGGCTGAACTTTAAAAATGTTTATTAGCTACCTATAATTTTTTTCTGTGAAATTTTTATTTTCCTACACTGTTTTTCTATGAGCTATCTGTGGTGTGTGTGTGTGTGTATTTAATACAAAATTAATTTGCAAGAGGTTTCTGTATATCATCTTAGTCACATTTGCTCCAAATCTCTGATACAGTTCCTATTATAACTGGTTCAGACTCCAGTTTATAACCCATATTAGAATGTGAGAAAAAAAGAGTTAAAAAGGGAGGGCATGACTGGGGGAAGAGAAGGAGGGCTGAGGATAGCAGAACATGGGGACATGTTCCTCGTGGGTCACAGGACAATGGACCACGTGACTTGGGTGCAGCTGGAAGGTTGTATAAGCTCCATGGGCTCATAAATATTGCATGGACAATGCACCTCACCTTTATTTATTTATTTTGTGCCAGTACCTGGGCTTGAACTCAGGACCTTGCATTCCTTCTGGGCTTTTCCCACTCCAAGGTTGGTGTGTCAACCACTTGAACCACACCTCCATTTCTGGCTTTTAGCTGGTTAGTTGGATTTGGCTGCCAGGACTGGCTTTGAACTGTGACCCTCAGATCTCAGCCTCTTGATTAGCTAGGATTTACAAGTATGAGTCACGGGTGCCTGGCCTCACCTTTTAAATAGTATCTGAGAGTTCATTGATGTCAGTTGGGGAGGCAACATGGAGAAACTATCAAAATAGTTCAGTGCCCTTTTATGTGGACCTACTATGTGCTGGCCTGTATATTATTTCACTTAAGTTAGCTTTAACATACAGCAGGTTAGATGTCATCATCCTTTATTCTAAAATAAGGAAGCTGGAGTCCTTATGGAGAAGGGGGAAAAGTTTTAGAAGTAAGATCTGCCCTAAGCCACATGTCCTTTCCTCCAGGAAGCATTCCATCACAGGGAATCCTGAGGACACGTGGTTGCTAACAGGTTCATGTGGGCTCTAGTTGTCTCTTAATTCTAAGCCATCCAAATACTCCCACGTTTTCCTGCCGGTGTCCACCAGAATATCAGACACATTTGGTAGCAACAAAGGATGAAGCTGGGTCACTTGTCTAAAGGGCAAGGCTGACTGTGATGTGTCACTTTCCTTGAGTCCTGAGAGGACTCCCGAGGTTCTGCTCTCCTTCTCTTCCTGCCACCACAGGAGAGGGTGACAGGGTCAGCAGAGCTGTGTGACGTGGGCTTCCAGATGCATGCTCGGGACTGAAACGGGGAAAGGAGGAGGCTCCACCAAAGCCAGTGCTCTTCATTTTGATGTTATTTCTTAACACATTTAAAGATCTTGCTGGTGTGATTGTCCTGGATCACAGGGCAGAAGAGCTCTGTGGGGAGTTGAGCAGTTTGCCACCCACATTCCTCCATCCTCCTCTCCCGGCAGGTGATCAGGGACTGCAGCCAGGTGGGACCTCCCCAGAGCTGCAGGCTGCTTCTCCTCCCCCTGAGTCCATGCAAAACCATTCAGAGCCATGCTCATGGGTGGTCATGCGAGAGAAAGACAAAAGATCTGCTCCCCTCATCCCCTTTCCTACCAAGCCTCTGTTGGAGAAAATTAAAACCAACAGTCCGCATTGAAAACCTGTGTGTTCTGGTTTAAGATAATTCTCCATTATATAAAAGCATAACCATCTAAAAATCAGAAAGAATTCACGAGGTAACAATAAAAGTCAGCCTCTCCCCACCCTGTCTCTGAGGAAAACGCAACCATAAGTTCTTACCTGCTCCCAGGAGAGCTGGCACCTTTGTCGGCAGCTGCAATTTCTGTCTGCTTCTCTCCCCAGATGGTCTTGGGCTGTACATTTCTGGGCTGACTGTCAGTCTCCCCAGATTTGGTCTCCTCTTCCTTGATAAAATCTTTGGTGTCTGTGTCACTGAAAGGTGCAAATGCTTTCAATAACTAATTTAAAAAAATAGGAAAACACTTCTGTATAAAAGGATGCTTTAAAGACTTAGCTAGGGGAAAGGAAAGAAATTAAGACAATAGACCCACGAGGTCAGAGAAGAGCTGGATTTGAAAACTGGTTATGCTCTCTTGTAACCAAGTGAGTGTGGCAAATGGCTTTGCCTCTCCAAGCCTCATTTTCCTCATTTATTACATGGAACTAATACTACTATCTATCAGATGATTTTTCACCATAAATAGCACTATGCAGCGGATATAAGGGTCTTTTACTAAAAAGTTTCTTGCTTCCACGGTCAAGAAGGCTCTTGGAGCTGGGTGCTACTCGGGAGGCTGAGATCTGAAATTCCTGGTTTGAAGCAGCCTGAGCAAGACAAATCAGACACACATATCTTGACCCAGAATCCAGAAATGGAGGTATGGCTCAAATGGTACAGTGCCAGCCAAGAATGAAAGAACTAAGATAGAGCATGAGGCCTGAGTTCAAGCCCTATTACTGGCAAAAAAAAAAAAGAAGAAGAAAAAAAAGAAGAAAAAGAAAAGGCAGCTCTGGGGACACACAATGATTCAGCTATTGGAGAAGTCACCCAGGTTTGAAATGACATATTTTGTATCAACATATTTATGTCCTCAGGTTGTTAATTAGTGACAAGTATGCTGTTACAGGAAGGTGCCAAGCATCTGGGACCATGCGCCTTTTCTTTTCTCTTGCATATTTGTCACCCACCACTGTGGAAGACAGTAGCTAGAGTACGATGGACTGAACCCCAATTCATACCTCCTCAAAACTCACATTTAGAGCTAGGTCTGAATGACATCAAGTTTTGTCTTCATGTGTGTTTAGTGCCAGTGCCTATGAAGGTGGGGGTAAAGCATTTTCCATGCATCTTGACAAGTTGTTGGGTTCACAAGGCAGCTAAATCGTCAACATCTGCACGAAATCCCCCGAGAGAATTTTCTTGGCTCATCCTCTTTTAGAAAGCTTAGAAGTTTCACAAATAGACATAGCCAACAGGCAGCATGGGGATAGAGCTGGGTCGGCCCCCTGGCTGCTGTGTGTGTGTGTGTGTGTGTGTATACACAGCTTTTCTTGGCATGTAGGGGACAACAGTATTTATATTCCTGAGTGTAGGTTGTGGTTGCATGAATACTTTCCATCCAGTCTTGGGAAAAGGATGAAAGTTCCCTTTGGCAGCCTATGAAGCTTAGTTTAATCCAGTGACTAGGCTTGCTTACTCCTGACAGACCCTGGGCAGGGTGGAGTGAGTGAGTGTGTGTGTGTGTGTGTGTGTGTGTGTGTTGGGGTGGGGGAGCAGGCAGAGGATTCTGTGTTTCAAGACAGGGCAGTGCACTCCACAGGCAACTTACTAGGAGAACCCCTCGTGGTGTTGGGTCAGCTTAGGACAACTTGTTAGAGCCCAGGGAGGTTGTGGGTATAGCCAGAGAGAGGAAGACAGAGAGAAAATTCTGTGGGAACTCAGTATCTATTCTTTGGAGTGCACAAGGTGAGATGTGATTTCACTTTTTAAGAGTGAAAGAAAGGAGGAGAATGAGAGAGGAGGGAGGAGATGAGAGAGAGAGAGAGAGAGAGGGAGGGAGGGAGGGAGAAGAAGGGAGGGAGAGAGGGCGAGAGAGAGATCAGGGATCTGCCACCATGGACAGGAGGGATAACATTTTCTCAGCATAAACATTGCATTCCTTGAAGCTAGAAGTTTCTCCTGTATCACCAAGGTCTCATCTGTTAGCTCTTAGAAACAACTGCTTCCCACTGCCCAGCTGACAGGAGGAGGGAGCCAGGAACAGGGTTAGGCCTCAGGCTGAATCCAGTAAGTTAGAACCTGGCCCAAAGATTCTAACTTAGTTTACTTTGATTCCCAAAAATGATCTGAGCAGATTATTCAAATTCCTTCCACACTCTCATTTGTAGAACTTCATATTGCCACAGTTCCCCCCCCCCATCTTACTCCAACTCCATGCACACACCCATAGGGTGGGTTACCTTCCTTCCTAGGGCTTGTCTTTCCCACACCACAGCAGCCAGCGGGCCCTTCAAGGTCTGATTTTATGTTCACTAAGTCTGCTTTAATTCTGTCTTTTCCAGAACGCTTACTTTCAGCGTTTTGTTTGCATTTAAATATTAAAACATCACCTATTGTATAAGTAGACCGGAAGCTCCTTGAGGCCAAATATCACCTCTTAGCCAGCCTGTATCTGGCCTCACATTGTTAGGCAGGGCTAGTGATATTTGCTTAATAGGGTTCAAGAAGATACATTAATCTCAAGCCATGAGAGAACTTCAAAAGTAGAACAAAACCTTTGTTAAACAAAACACCCAAGGTGGCTTCAAAGGTTATTTTTGTGGTTGTGTTCAAAACATTTTTTCTTCATGGAAAGCATCAGATTTCTTAATGATTTTCCAAAATTAAAGTAACAAAGCTGAACTCCTTAGAGGGCTCTGCCAGGTCTAGAGGTGGAAATGTCATCGTTAGCAGAGTCAGGACTTCCGGACCTTTCACAATGCATATCTCAGTTTTTGTAGCTGTAAAATGGGTCTACCCCTACTATGTTAAGTTACTATAAAATATAGCAACAATAAACATCAATGGTCTAATTCAAGTGTCTCAAGTAACCGCTAAAAATGGTAGATGCTTCTTCTGTTATAAAGGATACTAGTAGGGCACTGGTGGCTTATACCTGTAATTCTAGCTATTCAGGAGGCTGAGATCTAAGGATCCTGGCTTAAAGCCAGCCTGGGCAGGCAAGTCTGTGAGACTCTTATCTCCAGTTAACCAACAGAAAACAAAGTGGAGCTATGGTTCAAAAGTGGTAGAGTGCTAGCTTTGAGCAAAAGCAGCTCAGGGACAGTGCCCAGGCCCTGAGTTCAAGAATCTGAATACCACCAGCAATGGGAGGTCTGTCACCACCCCCAGCAGAGAAGGTGAATTTAACCAGAGACTCAGTTAGGCCGCCTTCCCAGGTTGACAATAATTTATTCTGCAGCCTTCATTCCCATAAGTTTTTGTTGATTCTCTCCCCCAAGTCTTCTTTGATAAAATCCAAAAGGCAAATAGCAACTCTTTTTCTAATAATTTGTTCAACAAATACCTGTGTGCCTTTGCTATGCAATAATTTGAGGGTTTGCAAGATGAGTAAGACATTTTGGTCACGACCTTAAAGATTATGAACCAATTTGGTTGTGCTGGAGGACTTCTTCACTTTGTTATGTTTTTGGTTTGTTCTTTGCTCTCCATTTTCCCTTTACAGGTCACAAAGAAAGCGACCATGATGACATAGTTTGTGTACAGGAAGTTAAGAGCTGCAGATACCACATTCCTAATCACCATATCTGCATGAACAGTGAATCAAATGTCAGAACTTTGGGGCCATTCTAAGATAGGACCTTACCATGGCACAGTGCATGAATCTTATGGGAAATCTAAGTCATCTGTACTGGGAAATGAAATATGAGGGTTTATGTTCACAGCTTCACTGCTAGGTAACTTCACTATCCTATTTGTCAGTAGATGTGGGGATGTCTGTGATTGGCTCTAAATAACCCATATCCCCTTCCTGTATCTGAGCAAGGTGACACATCAGGAACTAAGAAACTAAACAGCTGTTTTGATTAAAAAAAAAAAAGACATGTGCCTCAGTTCTCTTGATAATGTTGGGAAACAATGATTGCTAAGAGAATAGTTCTTTATTTGGCCAGGAAAGTGGAGGTGGGAGAGAAAAGGTAGAAGTCCCATATTTATACAAGGCCCTGACAACTCAGGACCAAGTCTATTCAATTGTTCACATTTGTTATACGTAGATGCAGTTCTTGAAAATAAAATGAGAAAAGCAAGAAAAGGAGGAAAGTACAATTCCTGAGCCTTTACCCCCTCTGTCCTCTTGGACTGGGTTCCTTGGCTCCTGGGAGGGGCTGAGATTCTGTCTGCGGAGATGCTTGTTTGGAAAGCTCACTGCTCTTTTTGGATGGTGGGAAAAATTACAGCTTAATTGCAAGAGCCACTGTTGCCTTGGTGTAATAGGCAGCTTTCTGTTCAGTCACAAATAATAGGTCACGTCTATTTTCTATTGGAGCACGCTAGAAATGTGTGGTGTCACACATCCCCAGAGGAGATCTTAATTAAAGTTTAATTATGGACCATAAATAGGTTTTATTTTGGAACTCAGGAGCTGGGATTTTTTGGTGTTAGGAAATGCAAATGCCTAATAAGTAGGCAGGAAAGGGAACATAAACATCAACTGAGCCCTTTCATTTGTCCCTCCTTGGGATGGCTCTGGATGGCTATGTACTTTTAGAGTCACCTGCTCTACACACACAAACATTGCGTGCCACCCTCCACACACAAACATTAGCTTTCTGGTGGTGATGTTCCAAAGAGTGTCAGACACAGGAGGTAAGAAATCAAAGGAGTCTGTGGAGACAATGGGATTTTATTGGTTGTTCATTCCTTTGGCACTACAAGAAGCTGAACTTAAGGGAGGTGGCAGCGCCGTCCCGTCTGTCTTCCTGTTCCCCGCACACCACACCTCCTGGTATGAATTCCTGGCCCCCTCTCCTGTCCACTTGCCTTCTGGAAGCCTCTGTGCTGTGTGCCTTGCTGGGGATGACTTACCACATGAGGTAAATTTTACTGGGCCTTCTGGGGCCAGGCAGGCACAGCACAGGGGTCTCAGATGGATTTGGGCAAGAGACAGGAAAGTAGCAGAGGGCTGCTGGTGACCCCTTTAGGGGACCTGGGGTGGTGGAGGGAGTGGAAGTGGTGGGTCTTGGAAAGCTGGGAAAGATGACAGGCGGGAGGGAAGTAGAAGGGCCCTGAGCCGCTGGAGGGGAAGGTGGCACTAGAGGTAGGAGCAGGCAGCAGTAATTCGTATTGGGCTTCAGGACAGGGGAGAAAGCGAACACAGAACAGTAAGGGGTATATTCAACACAGAACAGGGGGTGCTCGCTGCTGTCACCTG